TCTCATTTCCTCAAAATGAAGCTCACATCACCATTATCTGCAGACTATTCATCGTGATGTACAGGAGCACTGTGCAACTCCCGGCTCTGAAACGTGACTGTTTAAATCATAGAATCGTTTGAGTTGGAAGAGATCCTTAAAGGCCATCTAGTCCCCTGCAATGAACAGGGACACCTACAGCTCTATCATGTTGCTCAGAGCCCCGTCAAGCCTGATCTTGAATGTCTCCTGGGACACGGCTTCCAGAACCTCTCTGGGCAAACCGTTGCAGTGTCTCACCATCCTTATAAAAATCATCTTGTGTCTAGTCTAAATCTCTCCTCCTTTAGTTTGAAACTATTTTCTCTTGTTCTATCACAACAGATCCTTCCTTCTTATAGCCCATCCCCTTCTTTCTTACAGCCCCCTTTAGATACTGAAAGGCCACTCTCAAGTCTCTCCAGAGCCTTCTCTTCTCCAGGCTGAACAGCCCTAGCTCTTCCAGCCTTTCCTCGTAGCATTATCCTCTCTCTAGTATAAATAAGTTTATGAGAATGTGGCTCATAAATAACAAATCTGTACCTTCAAATGAAGACTTTTAAGACATGAATGAGAATAAAATGAGGGAGTGTATTTGGCTAAACAACCCATCTGAAAACTTGGGAGACTGAGCTTGCCCATTTTTACTGCACAACCAATTTATTTTTTTCTGTTGCAACTACTGAAACGTGAATGACAATTTCCATAGCTATTGCTGGCATTTCTTGCTTAGCAGCTCAATTGCAAAGCTTCTCTTCACCATTTAATAACAAACATTTGTTTTTCATTTGATGAACTGCACATGAATGGGAAAGTACTGCCTGTCTCGCTCTCCTACAAACTCGTATGCAAAGGGCTGAGCATGTTCAAGCAATCCTGGGAGAAGCACGACAGCTTCATCGTTAAACCTGTCAGATAAGTTGTTTCTCTTAGATTTGAATTGAGGACTTACAATATTAGATCTGGTAAATATGGGTAACTGCTGGCTGGCTATTGATGTCAATACCTGCCTGAATTAAACAGCCATCAATCTTGAACTAAGGCTATGAAGGTCCTATTGAGCAAATTAGTATAAGTGAAAATTCAAGTGTGTTTTAGAAAGCCTAAATTGTTGAGTTAAACAATTTTGTTAATCTAGTTGTCTAGAATAAGTTGCAGTAGATACGCACTGTTTTCCTTCTCACTTTTGTTAAATTTTGTGATACCCATAGAAACCCATTTGGGTAATGCACTCAGTCGTAGCATGGCTCTTGTACAGCAAGTATCATAAGCATTGTATTCACACCCATGCCCCAAGACACAGCAGAACCAAACTTTTGTCTTATGAATGCAATATGAAGACTGTTGTAGACGTCGCTGTTATTCAATACCATCTATTTACTTGCTAATACATTAACATTAGCAAGAAGCAGAAGACGACTGCTAAACTTTCCCTTTGCAGGGATTTTCTCCCCTCTCCCTAATTCATTTTATAACTCAGTAATCTATGTATTTGCCAGATCTTGATTTGTGATGCCAATTTGGTCTTACAGTAGCCTGGTGACAGGTGACCTCTGACAGACATGGTGAAAAGGAAGACTGTGGTCTATTACTTTGGTAGCAATGACCTGTTCATCAAGCAATCTGTTGTCACAAGAAAGATGACATCCTGGATAATGCAGCCAAAACCAACATACTGTAGCTGACTGTGAACTGGAGGCTGGGAACCAGTATAAATCATTTTATCAGATTTCGAATCACATCTATTCTAGTGTTTAACTCATTTCCACAGCAGCGTCCTGGGGTATGAGGCTGTAAGCATAAACAAAAATCTCCATTATTAGAATTAAATGTGCTTCTCTGATTATGTGCGCAAAAAATGGAACTATAATAACTGTAAACAAGTTAAATTTAATGCATTGCACTGGATTTCAGTGATTCTTTTGATACAATTTACAAATACAATATACAAATATGCCAAATTAAATGTATGAGCTGTTCGGCATACTTGGGATCAGTCCCATTTTAAAGCATACCCACTACATAAGAAAATTAATAGCAGTGTATGTTTATAGGCTCCGAACACAAGGAATGTTCTTCCTAATCTTGCTAGTGCATTTCACACATGAGCAGAATGATAGAGTTGTCACCCATGCACACTACTTTTGTCTCATCAGATCTGTAGTATGAGAGTAGGCAAGTCTCATTCATTGCAAATTTTCTGGCTCCAGAAGACTATAAACATTTTGCACGCTTGGCCAGTTATCCAGAAGTGCAGGATGGATTTGACTTTTATTTCAAAATTATGTGGAAAGAATGCCATAATACTGTAACAGTCACAATGCCATCATAATACGCTTAATATCTAAACAATCTGAGATAAAAGTAAGTTTTCACAACCAGCTCATAGTGGTTTTGCAAAACAACTCCCAGGAGTCTTTAACAGAATTTGTAAGACTATGTCATTTGCGAGTTGCAATTTGTGACAGAGATCCATGTATGTTTTTGTTTGCAACTACAACTTGCCAACCCAACAAGACTCAATTCCTAACCACAGTTCCCTGTGTGTGTAAGCAGTTTACCTGTTGAGATAACAACCGTATTGTATAAATAACTGCTGGTGACAGTTGATGTTTACTGTGCATCTAACTGGATACTTCTGGAAAGCATTTTTTGATATGTTGCATAGGTTAATAAATTCCCTTCAGAAAAAAAAAAATTTACTAGTCACATCTGCAGTTTGAATGTTTCTTTCTAAAAGATGAACTGAGGCCAAGCAAGACAAAGAATCTGCTGATACACACATGTCACTCCAAGAATTCTCCTGACAAAGTTCCCACACCCAATTTAATTACTTCCCTACTGTAAAAACACTTTCCATCTGCATTTATTGTAATAGTTTCAAATCCAAAACCAACACACTATAAAGCTAGCTAAATAAATGAATGATATTGGCCTTAGGTCCTGAGCCAGGAGCTATTCTGTAAGGCTGTGTCTCCACCATTCATTTTTATGCTGATGTTTCATTTTATGTGCAATGTTTTCACTTAAGACTTGTTTAGAGAAGAATTACCTTGCTCCAGGCTTTCAAGTGTCATGTGCTGTGTGGTACCCCTAGTGCTGCTCTGCCAGAGGCTGGCAGAGATTCCCTGCAAGACCCATGTTGCATTTTGGATAAAGATGGGACAGAAATAGCCTGCTGCAGGCTGTACATACAGCATTCCACATATATAGGGCAGGAACATTAATTTCAACTTTATCTGCTGTATCCAGAAACTGAGGTTGTGGAACTTCAAATGAAAAGCTTTTTTTTCCTCAATGAAAAAAAAGAAAAAACTCCACCAGATTTCTCCTCAGTATTGACTATTTGTAATTTGGGTTCCCCTCTTGTACCTGGGAGACAAAAGGTTTTTGTTCCTCATACCTCGTATAAATAATTTAATTACAGTTCATAAGAAATTTCTTACTGTGCAGAGATAATGACAGTAGATCATATCTTATGTCCTCAGGTGTGTTGCAATATCATGGTGAGATGAAACAACAGCCATGGACTACTTTGTAATTTTTAAACACTTGAGTTATAACAGTCTGCTTTGGACTAGCAACACACTTGAAATTATACATGTGCACAAGTGGAGATTCTCTATGCCATCAAAGTACCTCTACCCTTTAAGAAACATGTAGATCTGGTGCTGAGGGAAATGGTTAGTGGACATGATGGTGGTGGGCTGATGGTTGGATTAGATGATCTTAGTGGTCTTCTCCAACCTCCATGATTATATGATTCTATGAAAGAAGAAAGACCTCAACTTTTATAATAAAATTTAAACCAAAGCAGTAGGACAGCAGATAAATTTCTCACTTAGAAATTATTAAATGAGAAACAAAGTACAAAATATGCCTTCACTGAATCCCAAAGCAAAACTGCTACTGACTTCCCTTGAAAATGTGTTTAGACATTGAATTTTGTATTCAGTTACATACTTTCAGCTCTTAGCAAACTAAATGAAAGTCAAGAATGTGTTCACAAAGGGCAGAAAAAGATTCTCATGGTGAGCCACAGAGCTCAAGCCACAGATAGATTGCCTTCATTATCCCAGGTGGCCCCAGCTCCAAGAGGACATGAAGATATAGCAAAGGACGGGATCTGAGGGCAAATCTCAAATTACTTAGCTTTTCTAAGTTTTAATCACAATTGTGTGACTTCAATGTTCTTTTATGGTTATCTCTTTAAATTAAAGCCTTTAAATTTTTGTGAAACTTCAAAAGTTCTTTGAAATAGAAGCAAAATGAAGACAGACAAAAAACACAGAAAACCACTAAGTTTGAAGAAAATCATCCACTGTGGCTCTACAGTTTACTAATCAACAGGAAGATGCCCATCTAAAACAATTAGTATTTCACCTGCTAAGAAACATGCATAAACATATTCACACACGCAAAATACAGAATTCAAATGTCTTCCCTTTTCTCCATGTACATGAATATAGCAAAAACAGTGTTTGGTAAGTTTTTTTTAAAGAATTTTTTTTAAAGTAGGGAATGGTCTCTTCCCTACTTACAAACCCAATGGCATGTTTTTCAGAAGTGAAAAAAGATTCAACAAAAGTAAATTTTTTCCAAATAAAATCAGAACTGTCTACACACAAAAAAATAAACACTTAAAAGTCAATACTCAAGTTTTCCCAAGGAAAGGGATAAAAGAAAAAAGTGAAATTTGATTAAATAGATTTCCCTATGGTATTCCATAGGATTTTCACTAAAATTGAGTGTGTTAATTTTGCATGACGGCACCATCTAAATCAGTAAACCATGATGCTAGCCCATATCTCTAACTGAGGGATGAAAACCTTCCAGACTGAATAGCAGTTAAAATTAACCTAGTCAATTTTCCTTTTCAAAGCAGGTCCTTCTCACTGAGTGCTTTCTGTCTGCATTTCAGCTCGTTATCACATCACATCACTATGCTGCAGGTAGTCGGCATTTGCCTTTTGTTACTGTACCTGGTGTTCGGAGGCTCTGACACATCTGATTCTGTACACGTTTTCTTTACCTGCAAAAACAAAGGATTTTCATAGTTACTCTCACTTGAAACAGAACTTCCTTGCTCACTATTCAGACACTTACATTGCTTAAAGTGGATGCAGCTCTGCTCACCGTGATCTCTATAAAATACTTCCCGCTTTTTACAGCAGCAGTATGCTGTACTAAACAGTGTGTTTCATTATTATCCCATGAACAGCTGCCAACTGCACTTCCCTAGGTTCCATTAGTATGTAAAATGTTCAGCTAAAATAGCTTGGGAGTAGCCCAACTGGGAACAAAGAAACCAAAGAACCAGGTTCCCCACTTGGAAACCAGAAAGCCATACTGTTCTCAGCAGAGTAAAGAAATGTTTCCCCAATTGATACAGCTTCTGTTTCCTGCTCAATCTCACAATAATAAACACCAGATTCTGGGGCAAAGTGCAGTGCTAGCTAAATAACTCATACATTAATTTTCATTTTGTGAATCTGCTGGTTGTTAAAAGTACGAGGGCTGCTCCAAAAGTAATGCCAACTCTTCTATGATGCCAGCCTAAGATGTTAGAAACAAATGTTGCTAGTATGACAGCAGAGGCTGAAGCTTCCCATCAATATTCCGTTACATTTTGTTGCCGTGTGACAGATGGCAGCAGAGAGACATCTGACAAAACAGTGTCTGACATGGAAGTGCACAGCAAGAAAAGCCTTGTCATCCAAATCCTCCATATGGAAAAATAGCACCCATGGATGTTCATCTACACTTACTGAACGTTTGTAGAGACCAAACAGTGGGTGTCAGCACAGTGAAGTGGTGGGTGGTGTGATTCAGCATTGGTGGCAGTGGGGCATCTTGTCTGATGCACATTTTTACAAGCACAGCATGCAGGCTCTTGTTCATCGCTGGCAGAAATGCAGAGCTAATGGTGGTGACTGCGTTGAAGTACAGTGTTCTGTAGCTAAGAATTTGCTCTATAAAATAGTGTTATTGTGCTCTTTGTTCATGTTGTAGTTTCCATGGAAATAAATAGGAAATATTACTTTTGGAGCAGCCGATGTATTTTTGTAATGCATCAATGAATATCACATTCAGCATTTGTACATAATTTTGCAGTATATAATTAATATAGTATAGATAGCTTGATTAATATAATTATACTTATTATTATAAACACTTATTACTGTAATTAATATAATATATAATTAATAGCAGTTTGACTTCCATACTAATTTTGCAATACATTGCCATTGGCCATTTAAGGGTGAAAAAAATACAACACTTTCCAATAAAAATAGAAAACTGCTCTCTGGCAAACTAGCTATCTCTTTGGGATCTTTGGGATTTCCTGCAAAAATTTTACTGTGCCTTCTGGTAATCTAAATTTTTTGTACTTTCAGCAGAGAAACAAATATTTTGCTCACTTGTGTGCTAATGTAGAATCCAGAGCTGTGTGGGAGGTTTCAAAATTACATTTTAAAGCCACCCAGAAATATTCATAATCATTCAAACTATTTTCATACGACTGACACAATGCAAAGAATATTTCCATTACAACCAGCACATGCTCACTGACAGTTTTTGAGATTAACTTGCACCAAAAAGGGCATCCTATAACTTCCTGCTACTTTAAAAGCATTAAAAAAAAAAAAAAAAAAAAAAAAGTTATCACTGTGAGTTGCTTGTATTGAAGCCACTGACAAAATAGTCATCAACTCAGACAGAAAAAGTATTAAAAGTATTAGCCTAGTGACAAGTGTTTTCTCTAAATACTGAATGCCATTAAAAAAAATAATAATAATAACAATTAAAGAACTTTAATTCATGGTTTTACAGATGGTCATTTTTTTTCTTCATTTGAGTTCTAGATATTGAGCAAATAATATAGCTGCAAGTTTGATCGTTCACAGAAATCAATTTTCAGTAGTAATAATGAAATTTTCCACATAAAAAGAATTTGAAAGTGTCTTTATTACCACACTAGTTGTCATCCAAAACAGTGACAAAGAAGAAAATGCAAAGGATCTTCTAAATATTTTGTTTGCTTGAATTTTGCTACAAAACTTTCTCCACCCTTTCCAGCTGTCACTTTCATCACCACTAGTTTTGAGCCTGCTGGATTTTTTTCTTCACAGTTCATAACATGCTACTCTATGGACTCTGCAATTGCAGTTTATCACGGATGCATGTTGGTGCAGAGGCTCACCATGAGGGACAATGAAAGCCCACGTAAGCCTTCATGAACAGTCAGACACTAACATCAATGCTACAGTTTTCTGTTCACTGCATTATTATTATAGTAACATTAGATTTGAAATATAGTATAAAACCTGAGATATAAACCCATGACTGACAACCAAATAAATGCCTCAAATTTGTGTTGAGGTTCCAATAAGAATAATATCCATCAGAATTAACATACTGGCCATCAAAATTACAAGCAATTGTTCAAAACCTAAAATCAAAATCATTCAAAGAAATTGAAATGGAAGCAGCCCTTCTTTGAGAGGCACCTGTATACTTGCAAAATCAGATTGTATCAACAGGAAGTTACAGAGGGACTTGGCTAGAAAAGCAATCTTTCAATTTTGCATATAAAATTAATATATAAATGCTCTAATTAATATACGCAATAGGAAACACAGTAAAGCTTTTCCCTTGTCTCGTTAACATATACTTACTTTCAAGATACTTATGCTATCTCCTTGCTGATAAATCACTGGCACTTAAACTTTTCATAGGACAGACTCACAGATGACTTGTCCTACCCCTGCTAGCAGTAGTACTGCATCTTGTTTTGATCAATGTTAAATAAAGCAATTGAGAAAGATTATGGTCTACTTGCGTGATGAAAACAAGAAAATTAAAAATAAAGAAATTCTTATATCTTAAAAGTGAGTAACAGAAAAGCAATGGGTCAACTGTATCAAAAAGACTCACCTCCTGCGAGGTGAAACAAACTCCAGGGAAAAAAAAATACAAGTACTTCATATTCAATAATGCTGCAATGAAAACAAAGCACTTAATAAAATAAGAATATCTCAGGTTTTCAACTTGGTGTACAGATGATGCAGTTAGTGATCATTTTCTGAGGAAGTGTGCAGTATAAGTATGCCATATATACGTGTCTTTTCCTTTGAGACTGAATGCAGACTTCATTATGGATCCCTCTTTCAGAGAAAAGATTTAATAAATAAAAATGTTATTTCTTTAAGGAGGAACAGGCACGTGATTTTCTTTCAAGTGGCTGGGTGGACTGAACACCCAACTTCTCTTTAGGGCTATTCAAGTAGCAAAACACATTTTGTTATTCATAAAATTATGCCACCCTTGAAGGTGAACAGAAAATCACAGTGAAAACTTATGATCAAAGGCTAAATATCATTATCTTTGTCTTCAGCTGCACTATTTTCCCTCTTAATCTGCTTTGGTGACTGTTTTCAAAATAATTAACCTCCACTAACACCACATTTATTTACATTCTCATGTGTTAAATGTAAGAACTTTTTTCTTTAATCCTACTCAGTTTTCCTTTTTTCTTTTTTTTTTTCTTTTCTCTGTTTATACAGGTTTTCTCACCATTTCAGTTATATGCATGTTGAGAACTATTTACTATGGTGGTGAAGTATCAATTTCAGCTGTTTTTGAATTTTACCAAAAGGTGTTGAAATCTCCTACCCTAGTTGCCTACTTCAAAATGTTTGAAATATTTCATCTAAAAATGCTTAAATCCAATTTTTTTTAAGAAAACAAGATGTTTTGTTCGTATTTTAAGTCACATAACTATGCTGCTCGGAGGCTTTAGCAGCTGAACCCCAAAAGTGAAAGTGCACAAATATAAGGTGTAGTGATACCCAGCAGTCATCATCTCTGTGAAATGGTGTCCAAATCTGTTTAGCTTCATATGCTTCTAAAAGCCATGTTTTCACACCCTTACTGAAGCCCTGTTGCATTCCAGCTTCTGAATTTCTGAAGATCAAAACCACACTGAATACCTTTCCATGACAAAGACAGAGAAGCCAAGTAAGAATTAAAAATCACTTCTCCTGATTTCTGTAAGCACCTGTGGCATCAGGAAAGTGCCTGTCCTTCTTAAAGTGGTGAGTCCAATGTCTTCCTATGGCAATAATCAAGCAACATCATAGAATAGAATAAACATCCTGTGACCTCAAATAGGATAAAGAATAAAGGAAAAATCCAAACAGGGAGGAGAGACAGAAAACGGAGCAAAAAAAGAGGGGGATCTCCAGGGAGCAAAATCAGAGGAGAGCAGAAGCTAGCGTAGGGGTTTTACAGGTACTGGATGAGTACTGGAGCTTGCATGGATGGGACAGAGCAGCACAGTTTGCTCTCCTCTTGTCTAAGATCTGGGAGTAAAAATCAGAATGACAAGCTCGAGCATTCATTACAAATTTATGAAAGTCACTAGTAAAGGCTTTATTAGTGACCAGTCTGCACAGAATAACAGGCTGTTTCTGGCATGCCATCTGCTCTGCAGATCTACTTAATGATCCAAGCTGGGGAATTGTACTTTGAACTTACAAAATGGTGCACAAATGTTATGTTTATGCAGAAAAATTAAGATCTGATTTTCTCATATTGAAGAAGACATTAGTCAACATTTTATACAATTTCTGCCTTAATCTCTGTCTTCATTTTTCAAATTTAAAACACAAACACCGTTTTAAGTGTCTTACACTTCATGCTGTGAGGGCAGCATGAAAAAGAGATGCATTTATTAAACATCGAAGACCTAGGAAATCTAGTATATCTATGCAATATCTGTATGACAAAGAATGATTTTATATTCACTGTGGAGTTTAGATGTTTCACATTCAACAGATACAGACTGAAAAATCTAATTACACACTCTGAGGAAACTGGAAAGTCATGTATGTCGTGTAATAAGAGCTGCACCATAATGGATAAGAGACTGGATTTCCACAGACCATATTAGTCCTGGTATTTCCTCACTTCTGATGTTTTCCTTTGCAACATTAACATCCTTTTAACATGATTTTATTGGTCCTTATT